GCCGCAATTCTAGACAGTCCACACATACATATATACTTATCTATATATGTATATACAATTCTGGACCCTCTAAACTAATGATTATTAAGCTGGTGCCATAGAGAATTAGGTTATTAACAAAACGTCAGATAAGTATATAAGTTGCATTTTGATTATCTAAACTAATGTATATATGTATTTATTTAGAGGGTCCAGAATTGTATATACATAAATAGATAAGTATATATGTACATATATCGTTGTCGAGCACCAGCTTTAAAATCCATGTTTTAATGCAATTTTATTTTGTTTGTATATGTGAAAATCAATTTTTGAGTTGAATCCTTATTTTGGAAGGGATTTGGAACTAGCAGTGATCAAGGACAGTGATGATATGGTTGTTAGTGTTTGGTGAAAATTATATATGGCGAATATGATCTGTAAATTGTTAATTAACCGCAAACTTATGGCACAAGTGAATTGTCAGCGAGATTAAATAATAATTTATAAATACTGTTAGTAGATTGCTCTATGCCTAATGGGTAATGAATGCTGTGGGAAATATCTATTAATTTTTTCTGCAATATTTCTGTATACCTCTATATCATGATACTGATGACCAACCTCTACTTGAATTTAGGGAATACTGTCTTCTGTGATCTTTTTTATTTGGGTTTTTGAAAAGGTTGGAGCAGGAATCAGGGTTTTTCTTCAATATGAAGTATTTTGAGAAGAAGTCGCTCGCTGGAGAGTGGGACGAGGTCGAGAAGTATCACTCTGGATTCACGAAGGTGGATGATAATAGATATTCTATGAAGATTTTCTTCGAGATTAGGAAGCAGAATTATTTAGAGGCACTTGACAGGTTTACCCTTTGATTTCTCTGTTCAATTAACGGTCATTTTATTAATTATAAAAAGTTTTTTTTTCAAATATTTTTTCTTTAATAATAGTATCTTTTTTTTTCCGTTGACAGCCGTGACAGGAGTAAGGCGGTAGATATATTAGTAAAAGATCTGCAAGTTTTTTCTACATTCAATGAAGAACTATATAAGGAAATTACTCATCTTCTCACCTTGGAGAATTTTAGGTAATATATTTTGTTTTCTCTGCTGGGGTTAGTCAGTCCAAGATTCATGAGAATTGTTTGTTGAATAAATATTTGCAGTTGTTTATGTTTCTGAAATCATGAAAGAAGTGTTGGCAATTTAAATGTCATTTAATGTATATTGGGAAGAAGAGAATGAGGTAGTTGAATATGATTGGAAGTGTTTTTTGATTTTAATACTTTAACTATTTATGCAGGCTCTTTTTACTTGTTTGTGTCATTTCTCTTATGTTTTAATTTAGTATGTAATAATATTGTACATGATTCGAAATGAATACTTTGATTTCAGAAACATTTTTTATAGCTTGTGGGTTGACTCTATAATGTTCTGCAAAATGGCTAGATGACATTTATAATTTCTCATGACATGGTGCAAATTATTTGATAAGTAGAGACACTAACAAAGGGGATCAACGTAATGTATTGCGAGATCTTTATCATCTAGACTACCCTAGCTGATGAGAGCACAATTCCTTTGTAAAAAATATTTAAGTATGATTATGGTGTAAATATCTGTATGCATCTTCTCGGTGCAGGCAGCTTACATTGCCCTGTAAAAAGACTGAAACAATGTTAGAAACCTGAGAAGCCAAATCATATTTTTGGCTTCTTACATTGCCCTGTAAAAAGACTGAAACAATGTTAGAAACCTGAGAAGCCAAATCATATTTTTGGCTTTCTGTTATGCTATTGAAATCATATTGTCAAAATACTTCTACCCTAGGTTTTCCTTCAAGATATCTGATTGGTTCGTGTAGGCAAATTAAAGTTTTTTTTGATTCAGAAGAGAGAAGTATTATATCAGAGGTTGCATTCATTTTGATAGCTGAAACTCTTAGAAGCATGTGTTATTTACTGCAACTTAACTCCTACTTAAGTTTGTCATGAAAAAACACTGCACGTCTTGAGCTCTGTGCAATGATCAATAATGAACGAAACAACAAATTAAGGTTCTTTTAATCCTTGCATCAAAACATTGGGTTACATATGAAATGATTATTTCAGCAACATGAAAAACTCTCAACTAATCCTACTCTTTTGTCGTGCTTTCTCAACTATCTCTAAAAATACAAAACGAAAAACAAAACATTTATTGTCCCCTCGCTGCATAAAAGGAGATTGCAGTAAGAACAGTAGTTGCCGGATACAACCACATGAACATTTATCGTCTCCTCACTGCAAATTTTTATAACCTTGTTATAATAAAAAAAATAACCACGTGCATTGCACGTGCAATCCAACTAGTCTATATAAGGGTTAAAGTGAGTTAACCCTACATAATTTGCCAAACATAAAAAATATAGAAGAGTTAAGTTAACCCCTCTAGAGGGGTTAAAATGAGTTTAACCCCTCAAAATGAGGGGTTACTAATACTACTATTTAGATGGAATAAGAGTTAACCCTTCTAATTATAAAGAAAATAGTCAAAATCATTGTTATTCTCAAACACTAAAACTAATCATAAGGGCTAAAATAAAACTTATTTAACGGGTTAATAATTTAGTCATTCGGATTATCAAATGGGCTAAAAGTATATTAATCCTTCTCTTTAACCCCTCTTCAGTAAAATAATCACTTTAAAGATTAAGATCATGGATTTAGGCCAACAATGTATAAACTCGACTATAAACTTAGATAATTCCCTCTAGTGCTAAGTCTAGAATGGCAACTCCTATGTGTCTGGTTTTACTCCGTGCCGTCAATGTCATTTTCCGTTGAAATAAATTTTCACTGTACCTAGATGTCTTTATTAGATTCTTACATTTACTTCAAAAATAATATTTCAATTTTCTATATGGCAGGGCTCAGTTCTTCAGGCACAACTAAGCTAATGGAAAACTGCCAAAGAGAAATTAGAGTTGAGGAGTAATTATCACTGAACAAACAGTAACACTTTTTTGTACAGTCCAGATTCTACCTTATATCATACTTGAGGTATTCTGATACACTCCCATACTAGATATCATACTTGAGGTATTCTGATACACTCCCAGAAACCAGTATTTGATACTTGGGGAATATTTGCAGTCACTGATGACTGCAAATATTTGCTTAAATCAGGAAGTGACTGATGACTTGTCAGCAATTGCTTGGAATATTATCCGAGTTTGAGTCTATCTAATGTATGGCAGTAAATCGTCTTCACATCGTTTAGTCTCGTATGCAACCCTACTGAAGTATGAGTCTCCATTTTGTTTTTCTGTATTTTTCAAAATGGTAGGAGTAGGAATTTTTCATCGCCACTCGTTCATGAAGACGGTGTTGGATTTAATCTAATAAATCTATTTGTGGTCACATATGATTAATCAATGTGTATTGTTATCTTTTAGGATAACCCACTAAAGTGATCAATTAATTGAGTTAATAGGTATTTAAATAAGTCATGGGGTTATATGTGCAGATACAAGGTTGTAATTATGATTTGATGAGGGGCCAAATTATAAATGTACAACATCTATAAATAAGGGGTTATGGTCCCTAATCTAGGGTTACATTCTCTAATTCTCTTTACCCCCATCTAGAGAGAAATTTGGCTAGAGAAACCCTAAGGTTAGAAGATCCAAAACCCATCTCAACTTTAATCTATTCAGGTATAAGCTTCCGTTCTTTTCTTTTGATTCTTATAAATCTCTTTGAATTAATCATGGCTTTATGGTTTTAGATCTCAAGTTTTTATTTAGATCTAACAGACTGTACTTAATCAAGTTGAAGTCTTAATAGATTGTTGCTGGATCTTTGTTGTGGTCTCTTGTGAAATGAAAATTGTTGCAGGTTTCCGTGGTAATTGGAAGATGAGACTAGAACTTTATTATAAGTAATATTCTTTCTTGCATGTTTTTGCTGCGCAGCCGCAGGCTTGCGCTGCTTGATTTTGATGTGACTTCATCAGTTGAAATCCTAAGCTTTAAACATGCATTTCCCATTTTAGACAAGTCCCGCAAATTTGTACCTTTGTGTCTATATTTCAAATACCTTGAAATGCTGTGTTGCTAATTTTTAACATAAACATTAACTGTGAATTTCAACTGCATAAAGACAAATATTAATGGTAATATTTTATCGGTTTTTCTATAGAGTGCTCATGAGCACTCTATAAGAGAGGAGAGAGTTAGAGAGAAATAAATTATGCACAGAAATTAATGTAAATCAAGAGGGCCCATGAGCTATTCATTTATCTCTGTCTCTCTCCTCCCTTATAGAGTGCCTATGGGCACTATATAGAAAAACCGATATTTTATAAACTTGTGGTAATAAATACATCTTTTTTTTGTGAATTACTTGTGAATTATATTTATCCCTATTTTTGAAAAGAACAAGCTCACATAGTTCCTACAGTCTAGTTGACCGGTGACCTCAACCGTCAGATAGCCATCCAACGGTCTAAATCTATTTTCAGCAGTTCAACCCGTAGCAGAGACCTAGGCGTGGAACCTATCATCATAATCTCACTTTAGATCTTATGCCTTAGACCTAATCTCAATTTCAATCTCAACCTTAAAATTTCGAAAATCCTCTCAAAACTCTTTCTCAAACCCAAAAAAAAAAATAAAATTTGCTTCTAGCCCCCAAAATGACAAAAAAACATGCTCCCCCATCTAAGACTTTTTCAACACTCCAAAAGTTCACATCCCTAAAATACAAACGCCTCTAGCCCCCAAACCCAGTTCCCAAGTGACCTGGTTTAAAAAAAAACAATTCACAAAAAAATAATGATAGGGGCGCACTCTCTACGACACTAGCAAGAGAGGCGGTGTGCATTGAGGAGTGTAGTATAGAAGAGTTGTGCGCCCACACCCCACAACTACTCCCGAACAAATCAAATAGCGCGCTTTCCAAATGGCTCCTTTTGATTTAACTGCCTCCACTACTCAAAACACCTCTTCTCGTCGAATGTGCCATCTCGAAATTTCCAATGTGTCCCTTCCGCTGCTACCTCGTCTACTTTGCTGGTGACGACCCGTCGGACTTCCGCCATGCCTTCGACATCCTCGATGTCCTCGACGCCGACGGTGACAGCAAGATCAACCTTAGCGACCTGAAGTCCACAATCATCACTGATAACGACATCATCGCCTCCATGATCTCCGCCGCCAACACTGACCACAACGGTATTGTGGACTTTGACGAGTTCGAGCGCGTCCTCGGCGGTGGCGGGGGGCGAGACGGGAGAGAGGTGATGGAGGACCCGTTCAGGGTCATGGATTGAAACGGAGACGGGAGGATAGGGTTCGAGGATAAATCATAGGAGGCGTTGTATCCAAGAGTGGATTAGATAATGAACCAATGCAAATTATAATGTTGGTAGGTTTTATGCAGACGGTTTTTAAAATGCCAATTGTTTTAGCATTGATCTAAATTATTTGCAGAATTACCTTTTTTTGGGGGGGTGGGGGGGGTGGGGTGGGGTAAAAATCAGTTTAACCATTTGGTGGAGTTATTTGCAAAAGTATTGTTGTTAAACTTATGAGATGAATCTTAAGGTTATGAGTTTGTTGTTAACATTACGAGATAGTTGTTAAGGTTATGAGTTGGTGGTTAACATTATGAGTTTGTTGTGAATGTTACGAGTTGGTTATGAAGGTTATGAGTTGGTTGTGAACTTCAAAAATGAGTTGGTTATGAATGCTACTAGTTGATTGTGAAAGTTTGTTAACAACAATCACAACCAACTTATTACCGAGGTTCACAACCAACTCATGACCTTCACAACCAACTCGTAATATTCATAACCAACTCATAACCTTAACAATGAACTCATAACCTTAACAACCAATTTATAAGATTAACAACCAACTCATAACCTTCATAACAAATTTATAACATTCACAATCAACTCGCAACCTTCACAACCAACTCGTAATCTTCACAACAAACTCATTACTTTAACAATCATCTCATAAGGTTAACAACAAACTCATAACATTCACAACCAATTCGTAAGCTTCACAATCAACTCGTAACCTTTACAACTAACTCGTAATATTCACAACAAGCTCATAACCTTAACAACCATCTCATAAGGTTAAGAACAAACTCGTAACCTTTACAACCAATTCGTAACCTTCACAATCAACTTGTAACATTCACAACAAACCCGTAATCTTTATAATCAACTCATAACCTTCATTCACAACCATCTCATAACCTTGTTAACAAACTCATTACAGCAAAATAACAACAATATATAAATTTACAGACTCTGGTTTAATCTCAAGTCATCGAATTTAAAAATTAGAATAATACATAAAATAACAAAAAATATAGCACTCAAATTTAAGTACAAGTTAAAAAAAGGAAAAAAAATTATACAATAAATTCAAACCTCGCCAGATCTATAAATTTACAATAAATTCTAATTGAATTAGATGCATCACACTCACATCGGGAGTTGCTGGAGTTCCCGCCTTTATTGAGAATGGCGACATCCAATCCATTACAACTCGCCTTGATCCTAATCTTCTTCGTCTTAAACGATCCACCACTTTGTCACCATCATCTTCAAGATCGCAGATGAACGAACGCCGGGAAAGCTCTTGGATTTTGGAGGGAACTAGAATTTTGAGGGAACTAGATTTTTACCCCAAGAACCTATTTCAAATTATATTACAGTGATATCATGAGAGAGAGAGAGAGAGAGAGAGAGAGAGAGAGAGAGAGAGAGAGTATTATGGTCTTCACATATTTAAAACTCTTAAGTTTGGTATTTTTGGGGCTAAAAGAAATGTGAGTTTGCTTCTAGGGGTTTTGAGAGTGTTGAAAAAGTCTTGGGTAGGGGGAGCATGCTTGTTGTTATTTTGAAGGCTAGAGATAATTTTCTCAAAAAAGGAAAGGAAAAACAAATCCGTGGTTACTTTTCACGGCTACGTTTTCCCTCGTTGTTCTTGCTGTAACTAGCTTTGAAGCCATCGTTCTTAACCTTAGTATACCTTGAGGATTGTCAAAACTTCCTCTTAAACATCTGGCATTTCAACACTGCGATCTGTAATGATCCTTTGAATCTGACTACGAACACAACTGAGGACCTTCATTGAGCTCTCGTGATCTGCTTGAGTATCCCCTTTGTCGGATCTCCTCCAATCATGAGTAATGATCATATGCCACTTTATATAATTTCTTTCTCTAGAGAAGCTTCATCAAGGTCTTATAACGATCTTTGAGGTTCAATTAGTTCCCGAAAACATCTGAGCATGATGCTAGAAAGTAATTGAAGACACCTTATCATTCTACAAGGCCAAGTCGACAACTCTCATAGCCAACTAAAAAGGTGTGTACTTATCAGCCTACACACAAGACCGAAGCGAAAGGCATCACTTGTTGACCCTATCAAAGAAGACAAGTAGAAAGACGGTGTATCCTTGAGTCTCTCACCAATAGCTAGTCACAATCACATCATAGGCCTGATCAGCATCATCATTTCTCTAGCCACGAAAGTCTCCATGACTCATTGCCCTTCGTCAGCACTATACCTCCTTTAGTCGCCATCACATCAAACTCATATGTGACTCATTTCATTTGCAGCCAACATCTATGGAATATCTATCGACTCAGCTATCTGCATGGGCTCGGCCAAAGTTACACTTACACCCCTCTCAATTGAGTATAAATAGGCTCATCGCCTATTGACCAAAGCAAATAATCTCTTGCTAAAAAGGCAATTACTGCACACTTGGACTTATAATTTGCTCAGTTCATGATCTCCTTCTTCTCCACTCAAGCTTAATAGTAACTTGATCATTAGAAGAATCACCGGATAATCCAACTCTGGTCCTCTAATGTGTTGTGGTTTATAGGGCTCTCATCCTATCAAGGAATCAACCACCAGAGAGGACGAAGGGATCCCAACATCTTCAGCATAAACCATCAACCTCGTCGTTGTTTGGAATTACCCCGTAATCCCACTGTTAGATAACGGACGTCATATGTATATGTGTGTGTATATGTATGTATGTGTGTACGTATATATAGAATATTATAATATAGTATGTGATCTTGCATAGGACTATATAATAAATATATAGAATAAATTATACATATAAATTAAACTATAATAATAGTCTATTTTATTACATGATAACATAATTTAATATAACATATTGTGTATATTATTATTTTATATATCATGATATATATTTATAATATAATTAGAAGGATATTTTTTTTAAAATAGACCCTTTTTGCTAAATAGTTAGCAAAACCGACCGTTTTGCTAATTATTTACAAAAAACGACCTCTTTTTGGCCAACATGCCAAAAAGATGTCGTTTTAGCTACGAGCTGTTCGGAGACATATGAGACTATTAGTCCCGTATGTTTAGTAGGATTTTACACAACGCTAAAACATACATGACTAATAGTCTCGTTTGTTTAGTGTTGCCACGTTTCTAATGTGACACTCAATCAAACCCACAGAACTACTAGTCCCATGGGTTTGGTGCCTGATGGTCGACATTTCTCCTTAACGTACGGGACTACTAGTCCCGTATGTTAAGCAAAGACTTTCGTGTGGTTGGGGGAAATCAGATCTCCTTAACGTACGAGACTTTCGCGCCATCGAAGACGAGGTAGATCTACCACGAACGACGATGAAGTCGGCCCATCACAACAAGCTGGTTCGTCACAGCCCCACACACAACCCGAAAGTGAGCACGTGCAAGCCCAAGTCGAAGGAGGATGTCGACGATCTGAGCGGGTACGAAGAGGGAGACAACGGGGTAGGGTTGGAGTTTTAGGTTGCATGTGATAGTTTTTTGGCTTATCTACTAAGAGTATCTAAATGTTCATGAGTAGACTTGAGACATTTGGATTTACTAGATTATTTTGTCGTATTTATATTCTTGAGACGTTTAGATTTGTTGCGTTGTTATGAACTGATGGAATATATTTGAATATGCGTGTTGACTTCTCTAAATTTATAACATTTATAATTATTATACTGCATATAATATTATAATATTATGTATTGATATGAAGTGGATGCAATATTTTTCTGCAAAAAATTTGGTTCATAAAACTCCCATATGAAAAAAAAAAACAGTCTGTGCATGTTTTGTGCATGTTTGGCTCTACCCAGTAAATCCACGGGACTACTAATCTCATGGATTTGCTGGGCAGAGCACAAATGACTCTGCTTAACATACGGGACCACCAGTCCCGTATGTTAGGCGACGAGCATTCTGAAACCCACGGGACTAGTAGTCCTGTGGGTTATAGTTGCTTTGGTTCAAAGCCCCTAAACACATGATCTACTAGTCCCGTGTGTTTATGCGGTGATAACACACTAAACATACGGGACTAATAGTCCCGAATGTCTCCGAACAGCTCGTAGCTAAAACGACCTTTTTTTGGCCTGTTGGCCAAAAAGAGGTCGTTTTTGCTAAATAATTAGCAAAACGGTCGGTTTTGCTAATTATTTAGCAAAAAAGGGTTTATTTTAAACAATCTTATAATTAGAATGTATTAATTAAGTTATACAAAAAAGTTTTAAAATTATCTTAATTACCTTCAAAGTGAAACATAATTGTTCCAATGTGGAGGATGATGTAAATTTTTACTATTGGAGCAAAAAATTTGTACATGAGTTGGACAGTTTTATCCATGTACATAAGGTTTTGCCCTAGTAGTAAAAGTTTACCCCATCCTCTATATTGTAACAGTTGTTTTTCACTCTGAAGGAAAATAGGATAATTTTTATTGATACAAAATTGGCTTTTATGTATTGTGATTTTGTTCTTTTAAAACTACACATAAGTGTTTGTTGTTTTGCTTCAATCAAAGAACTTAGTGTATGTTGAATTCAATGGACAAAAGATAGATTAATCTCATTACGAAAATCATGAAATTATTTATGTATATAAAAATAAAATAAAATTGAAGTAGAACTCAATTGAGATGACTGTTATTGACCTAATTTGCTATGTTTTGTGCCATTGTAACCAGTACCTATTCATTATGTTCGCTGCCTATTAACTTTAGTTATTACATGTTACCTATATCTAATACCTATAGCTTTAGCCAGTACTTGTCCACTAGTCACTTTACCTGTTAACTATATTCAGCACTTGTTAACTTTAGGTAGCACCTATTAACTATATACAATACAAAGATGATTCTACAAGCAAATTTTACTCATCTTTAATCAAAAGAAGACAATATAACTCGCATACAGAATCAGAATTGTGTACTCTCCTTTGCATTTAAATGACAAGAT